CCTACAAAGCACTAAAAAAACTATATTACACACAAATGTACGAACAAATAAAAACCCAGCGAAGCGGGTCCTTGCAGCTAGTATATATATAAAAATGGATGTGTGTGTCCCTATATTTCACTTTTCAACCAAAACTACATGTCGCACATGAATGGTGTTTGTATGTGGTAGTAGCCCCAAGTCTCCATTCGTGCACTATGGTGGTTGCGTCTCGATAGCTATAAGGGTGCAGGAGATATGGGCTTGAAAGTGGAAAATTTTCTATTTCGATTTTAAAAATGTTCGAACCATTTTAAATTCGAATTTGAATTCGAATTGGTTCGATTATAGAATGATTGTAAACGTTCCAGAAAACTGATCAAATTGAAAATAGTTCGTTTGACTGGATGTAAAAATTCTCTAATTAGTCTGGAAATGGGGGACCTAATTCTTGCATTCTGTGAAAACAGGTAAGATTGGCTATAATATAATTATCTTAATCTTCACTATCGTTACTTTTTGCCCACAAATAAAAACCCAGCGAAGTGTGTCCTTGCAGCTAGATTCTAGATTACTTAGAAAAACAGTCTTTTATATATAAAAAAAAACTATATTACATACAAATAAAAACCCAGCAAAGCAGGTCCTTGCAGCTAGTTAAGAAAAAAATCAAAAGATTACATAAATGTATTGAAAATTTTACATTAAAAAATAATTAATAAAACAAACAATGTAACATTGTGTAACGACGTGTAAACAGTAAGTTTGTGAACTATTTCTAAGGTGTTACCAGATTATCTGAGTCATGCTTGTTAACAACCAAGTTAAATTTTAAACTTCTCTCATAAATCCAAATAGATGCCATTCAAATATTATCTCTCAATTTTCTCCACTTGATCTCAGGATCCAATGAGATTTAAATCTAGGTTTAGTTCTAAGATGTGTTGTATCTACAGAGGAGGCTATATCTACACTGTTCCATAATTCTCTCCCCAATGTTTCAAACTCTTACACCTATATATTCTGACTGTGTACCATCTCATATTCCTTTGAGTTTTATTGTACTTCTACAGGCAATTAGTTTTATACTTTGTATACATCTTTGCTTATGCACTCTCTAGGAATGCAACCGCAAGTAAATTATGATTTTACTACATTTAAATATATATTATATACAATGTAATTATTACAAATAAATTAATCAATTAAAATATTTTATGTAGAATATTAAATAAAAACTATATGATATTTCTTAACTAACTCTGCTTAATGCTCCTTTAAGCTTCCAATCATGACGTCCATACAAATTTGTGAATATTCTATCTTCATCTTTCAAAGGTCCAAATTTAGTCTAAACCATGTAAAAAAAAAAAAAAACAGGGTTATATGTTACACAAAGTAAATTGTATTTGAAAAGTTACTTTAACAAAACATTAATAATTTAATATCTCTAGAGTTTATAAAAATCCATAACTATTATAAATGAAAAATCACTGTAAAATAAGATTTTAATTTGATTATATTAAGAATGACTTTTACTTTCTCTGAATTATAAAAAATATTAAACTGTAATAAAAGTAGTATTTACCTTTTGTAATTTCTGTCCGGCAGTAACAGAAAAGCTTCGAGCCAAAAATAAACTTATGTAATGATTATGAATAACTGAAAAAAATAAAAAAATACATTTTTAATATCTAATTAAATAATTTACTATGTTTTAATATTTGTTTTTATTTATATAAATAATTTTTCTGAATCCCAAAATAGTAAATATCCATCGTTCAAACAAAACTGTGCTAATAAAAATGTGCCTGATATACTTAATTTCAAACCGGTATATTTATACATCACTATTTGCATATATACAGGCTTTTATTATTTGATATTTTTACTTTACATTTTTTTACTAGTGCTTATTTTATTAATATAAGAAAAATATCAAATAACTTATTTCTATTTTGCTTCTTTGGGATTACTGATATTACTCTTTAGGTGTTTGGTCAATGTAAGTTGCAAAATAAGTTTACTGAATTACATTGACACAAACACCTAAACTTACTTTTAGGTCAAATGAAAATCTGTAAAATTAAATGAACATTAATGTATTTCATTTTTCATCTTTGATTCCAAATAAATTAGCTCAATCTTAATCTGTTGGTTTAAAAAAAAAATATTTTATTAATGCACGATCTAGTAATTCATCCTTACACATGTCAGTTGTAACAATTGTTACATAAATAGCTTATGATAACATTATCAAACCATTAACCAGATTGAAAACTAGCATTTCTCAAGCTTATCCATTGTTAAAGTGCATTGGTTACTTCATTAAATTAAGTACGATAGCCAATTCAATTTTATAACTATTATAAAATGTCAAAAAGCTTAATTTTTACGGTTATGATGAGTTTTATATAAAAAGAATTATAAAATAAAGTTTTGAGACCCCTGAACCCAAATACGTAAGAAATAAAAAAATAATAAAACAAAGGAAAATATTCCGTGGAAGGGTGTGTGTTAGTTTGTATATCTTAGGATAAAGTAATGATTAATTCGGCAGATAAATTTTCATGAAAAGAAATTTGGCATGGTAACTTTAATATAAGAGGCATTCATGATATTAAATCCTGGTGGTTAAAGGTCAAAAGATGGTGGGTGATAGAACAGGTCATGTGTCATATTTAGAGAGGGATCGAACTGAATGAAGATTTTACTCGTTTTTAGCATTTACAATTTTTTCTTTTATTTATAAAACTTATCACTACCATCAAAATTGTTTTGTCATTTTATAATNAGCTTATCCATTGTTAAAGTGCATTGGTTACTTCATTAAATTAAGTACGATAGCCAATTCAATTTTATAACTATTATAAAAGAAAAATTTGAGATATTTCATAAAATACAAAAAATTATTTCTTATAAATAAACTACAAAATATATTATTACAACAATCTCTAAATTATAGAAAGCCAACCAAGCAGCAATAAATAAGAAAGTTATTAACCGAAACTCTAATAAAAGTGCTGAAGCAACACTTAATAGATGCCGGATGACAAAAATGGTCAAGGTACATGCACACATCATGATAAGCATATTCAAATCTAAATCAGATTCATAGGAATTTTTTGTAAATGGTCTTGTTCAAATATGTCAGGCTACATCCAGCCACCTAGGTTTGCCGACTCCTGAAGACAATTCTGGGAGTTTTCTATTCCAGAAGTAAAAATTCCGAGATTAGACAATTATTACTTTTTGAAATATCAAAATAATGTCACCTATTCTTTAGCATTTTAATATACAACCCAAAATTTGATCATCATGTTGAGTAAATATAGAAAGAATAGGCTTCAATTTAGGAATCCAAGAATTTAAAAAAGTTTTTACAAATTCTGGGAGTCTCCAGGAGAGTTGGAAACCTACAATCACTCCCTTGCAAGCCTATGAGAGCCAACAATCTTTGATCATTACTGTTTATATAAAAACATTCATAAATAACAGCCTTTTATATTTTGCCCTTATAAAATTACATACAATAATATAGTTTTGTAGGAGATTACCATAAATCAGTGTTTCTGAACCTTTTTCAGGCCAGTAAAAGTATGAATAATTTTATGTGGACCTGTAATTACACGCAATTATGAATTATGCTTATTTATTACATTTATATATGCTTAACTAGAGTTACTGTATGTAACAGAGTACCTGCAGTAACTCTAGATTACTATTTAAATGCCATACATGATCAACTGTGCCAATGTCAGTATGATCAAATACTTTTCTGCAGACCAATGAAATTTTTTTTGCATACCAGTAAGAAATGTTGCCATAAATCAACTGCTTTGAACATTAAAAAAAATTAAATTAAATTAATTTACATATTGTTAAAATAAAGAAAGACTATTCTAAAGTTTCAAAATTATATTAATTATGAAATATTTTTATGAAATAGAGTAAAGAAAACTTTTACGATTTATAACATTAATGTTCATTATATACTACTCGGGCTTTGCGATGTTATTATTTGTTTATTATTATTATTACCATCATCGTTGTCATCATCCCAATTCAATTTCATCTAATAAATAATCATTGATACACACATTATTTAAATATTTGTCATCTTGAATAATATACAATAGAAAAAACATTTTATAAATTTCATCCATTGAGGATTTTTTGCATATTTTCTGCATTCATATTTATCGTCCCATAATTTTGTTTATTATAAATTTATTTATTTATAATAAACAAAATTACGGGTTAAATAAGTTCATAAACTGTACCATCAGCAGCCGCCATGTTGTTTCAAAGAGCACCTGATAGAACAATTCAAATTGTAAATCATGCAATTTGGATAATAACTTAAAAAAGTAATATTTATTAATTAAAATAAATTTTTTTGCATACCAGCAGGTATGCAAAAAAAAAAAATGACGACAAAAGCAGGTATGATGCGGAAGGTCCATTCATTCTCCCAAAAGATCTGTTCGACGTAACAAACTTACACAATACAGCTTAATTAATGCTCACTATGTCATTTCTTAAACTAACCAATTGTTCTTTTACTTTCTTGGCTATTATACAACAGAGGAAGAGTATGGCAATCAAGATTTTTACATTTTTGGACTCTAGGACCTTCAAAGGTCGATAAATCCAAAATAATTGGATATATTTTCTGTATGTATGGATGTTAGTTTATATGGGGACACGATTTTGTTTACCAAATTTGAAGCTTAATAACTCCTGTACCTTTTGACAAAAATTTCTGAAATTTTGCAGAGAGGTTTGTGTATTAAGAGGAAATGTTTCTAGAAATTTTCAGGAAAATCGAACAGTTGGTTCGGGAGATATGGCCCATCTTAATATCTCCCTAACCTATCTGAAGACTTAAAGGTAATGATAGCATGATTATTAACGATGAAAACGAATAAAGAACGCCGGGAAAGTCCAGCAACAACGTTGCCAACTTTTATTTTTTACTTAATTCAAAGGACTCGTTCGAATTAAGTAAAGTCACCAGGATTTAAAGTTCAGCTGTTCTGCATTAAACATGGCGGCTGCCGTATGGTAGCGTATACACATGGAGTATAATTCCTTTTAAATTATTTAATCTTCTCTTTAATTATAATTGAATCACGACTCAAAAGCAAAATACTTTTCATCGCAAATTATTTATTTATTTGTAATAAACAGATGTTAATAAGTATTAAGGTTATTTTAAGAGTGAATAAATTCTAGCTTTAATTTAATGACAATAAAATTTTAATCCGCGTATAATTTATATTTATTGCACTGAAACATTTGGAACTTTGTAAAAGTAATTTTGAGATGTAAGAATACCTGCATTTAAACGACGAATGCTCTTCTCGACGGACACGGCCGCCATCTTTGTTTTCGTTAAAAGTTTATTCCTGATTTAATGCCGTGTATCGTCGTCAGAGGGCGGACCATGTCGACTTTTATTAGAAATATGTTAATAAATTTATCTCCTAACAAACTTTAACGTTATTCATTAGAAATAGTTTATTATATTTTAGAATCGTTTTTATATTATTGATTACTAATATTTGTTTAAACAATTTCTTTTTAATTATTAAAAAAATTTATGAAAGTAATCGTAAACGTTGCCAACCTTGAGGAATTTTCTTAAATTTGAAGAAAATCATCTGTTAATTAAAATATAACATTAAAGATTCGACGAAATTCTTAATGTTTCTTTCAAAAAAATTTAATTTACACTATTTCATAAAACTTCACCCCCAAAATTAAGCTGTTTTTTTGCCATTTTATAATAATTAATATTTATAAAAAGTTTTTAAAATAAAAATATCGTAACAGATGGCGCCACACACAATTTTAAATTTGTTTGCCTGGAAAGTTACGCAACTTTTTTTTGCTGGATTTTTGTTAATTTTTTAGTATATAAACCTATATTTGAAATTTAGTTAACACTATTTACAAATTTTAAAGATGGCTACACTATTAGAATTAATAATGCTATTTTAACGGACATAGTGATACAAATACATTGAGAGATACAAATATTATAATAAAATTTATTTTAAAACTTTACACGAGTGTATGTAATATATTCTATATTATATTATATACAATATATATCTAACGACAAATAAATTGTATAGTTTGTGTACTTTGTACGTTTCCTGTTTGTCTAGTAAAGTCACATAATCAAAATAACTGTAAACAGTTTAACGTTAGATACGATTATCGAAGTGACTTTCATTGCGTAACGTAATCCCGAATTTATTTTATCATACCAGCGCTTGTTATTTAATACAATTACAATATATCTAAGAACGTTGGGGGAGATTTTTTTTCTGTATGTATGAATGTCAGAGTTTGTGTAGAGGGCATGCTTTTGTTCACCCACTTTGAAGCTTAGTAACTCCTGTGTCTTTTGTCGAAAATTTCTGAAATTTTGTAGGGTGGTTTGTGTATTAGAGGGATTGATGCTGTTAAATTTTAGTGGTTAAAGCTTGAAGTATGGGGATAACTGAAGATAGGATTATGTGGCATAACTGAAGACGGGTCGGACTATGATTTTACTTATTATTAGCATTTACAATGTTATTTTTTTTTTTTTTGTAAAATCCATAACTACCCTTAAAATTAAGTTTTTAGCCATTTTATAATAATTAATATAAAAAGTTTTTAAATAAAAAAAATCTCTTAACAGATAGCGCCAAGCACAATTTTAAATTTTGCCGGGAAAGTTACGCAACTCTTTGCTGGAGTTTTTTTACGTAAGAGAATAATTATTACAGTTTCTTGCGTGGATTACTATTATTAATAGAAAGAAGATAATCTAGTAATCCATTATTATCTCTTGATTATCGTCTCGTAGACTAATCTGATGATGAAGTATGTACAATTTTTATGCTATATATTACTTAGTGTATGGCGTTAACAGAGGAGCAAACGGTGCATTTTCTCCTCCCTAGGATCGTGTAAAAAAAATTCCACAAATTATTATCGTTAAAAGTGATTGAAATAAGTAATTTTACCAAATAATGGGATGTCTTGATACAATACTGTGTTCTATAATCTGTACAATAGTCTGAAAAACAACCCAAAAATTAAATGTAGTAATTAAATAAAAATGTATTGATGTGATTATTTGTCTTCAAGGTTTGCCCCATCGAAAATTTTCTGCGTACGCCCATGACGATAGATTTCTGTTTTTAAGATAGAAAATATTTCTGATTATTAGAAATATAATTGTTAAATAATGTACTGTATATATATAAAAGAATATATAATACATTAATATTTTTTGTGAGGTAGGAAAAATTTTGCATATATAGTAATTATGTACTCTATTTTCGTGGAATGACCGACATGCCGGTACCCCCGTGGTTACCGGCATGCCGTTTAACTGTGACTAAAATGTGAAAATGACGAAACTAATAGAAGAATTAGCATGATCTTGTTATAAACTAATGAAAATATTGGATTTATTAAAGAACTCATTCCTCAATCTACTATATAAAGATAAAAAACTGGGCATTTTCTGTCACGGTATGCTCCCCTAGCTATTATTTAAGTTAACAACATAAATTATTTTATATTTATTTTATATTTTTACAATATAATACTCAGTATATTATTATTTTTATTTGTAATTTAGTATGCCCTGATGCCTGCATCGGGCCTTTCGACTTGTCAAGTAAGAATGGCGGTCTGATGGTAAAGAATGAGCTTGTCATATTTGATGTCAACTCAGTCGTGACAATTTCTAAGTTGCCCCGATCTCAAACTCGAGTTTTTCAGGATGACAGTTGGATAACTTTACCGCCTCTATCATCCGATCGTCAGTTAAAGTTTATTTGGAACATATCTAGTTCACATTAACTAGATTACAAACCTTGTGTATTGAAAAGTTTGGATGAGTGTATTGTTCTCAGTTTTGGTTATTCTAATTTTTATATGATTGAGATGAATATACTATATTTCAGCATAAGAAGTTCGGAAAACTGCCCTTTGGAAACAAAAAATTGGGCAAATCATTATCTATTATTTGGAAAGATTTATCTTTACGAGTAACTTTTCTCGTCGGAAAAAGAAAAATTCTTGTGAAGTATCCATGCTGAATGATTGCATTCATTCAGATAACTTTCTTCCCTCGACTGAACATTTCAATAACACATTATCGACATATTTTGGAAAAGATGCAGCAAAGTTTGCAAGTAAGTGACTAATATAGATCTTCATCTGATATTTTCTCAATCTAATCCAGTCAATGAAATGACTGGATTATTTATTACATTTATTACACAATTAGAATCAAAGGCAGAATATAAAGTAGAAAAGTATAGCAACGAGGTGCGTAACTTTCTGGCTTTTATGAAATTTTATTTTAAAAATAACTTTAATATTATTAATCTTCATAAATAAATTAAATTGTGTGTGGCGCCATCTGTTAAGAGATTCTGTTATAAAATTTTTTTATGTTATTAATTATTATAAAATGTCAAAAAGCTTAATTTTTACGGTTATGATGAGTTTTATATAAAAAGAATTATAAAATAAAGTTTTGAGACCCCTGAACCCAAATACNTTTGATTTTCGGCAATTCTCTTCAGCGGTAGGTGTTATATAACAATTACTATGGTTATTGAAATATTGGATGTAAATGGGGTTTGCTTGCAAAACCTCCGCTGACGAAGTCGCGGGTAACAGCTAGTAATTCATAAAATAAAAATGTTTTTATGATAAAAGCGCCATCTGTTATGAAAATTTCATAACAGATGGCGCTACAAAATTGATTTATTAATGGGTCCTGGGTCACACAGGGTTCTCGGAAGCGAAGCCACTGACCGTCTTGCCAAATCGGCTGCTAAATCCAGTCACTAGCACTTTCAATTATATTCTATTTCTTATATAGACATGCACGTCAAGAAAGAAATTTCCATTCTCTGGCAAGACAGCTGGGACCACGATACTACGGATAGACTCACTTACACTTTTATCCCCAAGGTTGCTATTGCCAGACACTGTTGTATGCCAGATACTATTGCAACTCTTCCACACTTTTCCCCAAGCTTTACCCTCACTCGGCTTCTTACAGTCTATGGCAATTTCAAGCAATATCTGCATAGATTTAATCTTGAGAACGGTCGGGAGTGCGGGCTGCATGTAGAACAAACGCCAATGCACTTAATTTTCCACTGCGATAGGTACAGTACCTACACTAATATTAGAAATAGCTTAATGAGAGAGGCAATTATGGCCATGCACACCACAGCAACTCATTCAAACACGTACAATGTATCATCACATACTTTCATTCATATTGCACAGCAAAGCTCATGCGGTTTCTCTCTCCTATGACACACACAACACACAGATTTCCTTTCTTGCTTACTCTATTTCCAGTTATACTTTTTTATAGTTTTTAGTGTTGTGCCCCTAGTTCCTTTGTTTTCCCTTGGGTACTGTTTTTTCCTAATTCCACTGCTTCATTTTGTTGTCATTTGCCATCTTACTAAAAATTTTTAAAAATTGGTGTCTTGCTCGTAGACCCTTGTCACGGCATTCTCTTGTCTGTCTGAGTTTTTGTCCTTGTTAGCATTCTTGTTTAGTAATAAGTTAGATTTAAGTTATCAGTTTTTTGCTGTTTTTTCTGGTTGTTTCAGTTATGTTTTTCCGTTTCCTATAGGGTTGCTGGCTTAGGTTCTGTATTAATTTTAGTACAATATTAGATTTAAACCTTGACTCTAGTTTCAAGCTTTAATCTTTACTTAGTCTAGCTTTTATGTAGCTGCACTACTTATTGGTGTAAGCTACAACTCAGGTTAGTATACGGACGTTGCCTTTTGTTATTATATGAATACTGTGAAACAATTTTTATTATAAAAGGAATCATAGTGTGACATTTTAAAAAAGGGAAAAATTCGAGTCTTACATTTCAAGTGGTCACAGGTAGGCTCTCAACGAAGAGTTATTTAAAGAATATGTTCGCTGTATTTAAGAATTGAATTTTTCTGCGTATAAAGACTTACATGAACGAACCGGTCTGGAGATGAACGTCCGGGAAAATTTTTAGACAATTAGTTTTCTAAGAAAGAACTAACTGGTCATCTGATTCACCAGTGAAAATAGACCGACAAACAGCTATTGACTTAATTATTCTTTTTAATTGCTAAAAATATTGAAAGATTTAAAAAACAAAGATGTGGTTTTATGTATGTATCTTCGTAGTCTGAACGTAAGATTTTTATTGTTTAGCTTCAGCTATAATATTTATCAATACATTTTTTTTTTCTGTCAAGTTTTCATTCATTTTTCAAACAAAACCTTAAAGACGTTGATCTTCATATTATAAGTAGAGGTGAGAAATTCAGTTCTGCTGCGGAAACTAGAACTGTTGGAACTAATCCGAGTGAGGAACTGTCCCGATGTGTTGCTTAGTCTGTGTACTAGACGATTTCTCATCGGTTACGTAGACATGTATAATATTTATATATTATAATACAGTCGACCCCCCTATAAGATAGAGATACGTTCCATTCTCTAGGAATCCGCTTTCTTACGAATCCTTCCAATCACAACCCGACACGTGTCAAGTTTACGGACTACGGCTGTTTGAAAGATTTTCTTCCATAAAATTAATCGATTCTAGACTAATCCGACTCAACATTTCCAAAATACGTATATATTTTTTGGGAATAATCCGTATAAACTACGCTATAAACAAAAAATTGTAGGATTACTTACCGAGTGTCACCATTCGACATTGCCATTGCTCAACATTGTTTTCGTCGCGGAACAGCTCAGCAAAGAGCGGCCGATTTCTAACAACTTATTTTTCTGTGAAAACTTCGTAGAACTTCGGAGACATCATTAATATAAATAATTTTAATCGCCGTTGAATAAGAAATGTTTCTTTCACAAGAAATGTATAAAATTACAGTACTGTATTAGACTTACGGTACCTAATTTACATACTGACAGACGATAGTTAGCGTAAAAATCTCCGTAGCGTGGCGCCACGCTAGACGGCGGAAATTATATATTTAATTATAACAAAGTTACAATAAGTTAATATATAATTATATATACAGTACCTAATTTATATATAATTAATATATAATTATATGTACAGTACCTAATTTATATATAATTTATATAATACTGTCCAGACGATAGAAATCTCTCCGTAGCGTGGCGCTACGGACGGCGGGAAAGTAGTTCGGCTTCCCGATGACGTTTGAGTTGTTTATAGGGAACTTTTACTATTTTTTACGGATACCGGTAGCAATTTTTTCGTAGTTTTATAGGAATCGTAACTATAGGGACCGTAATTATAGGGGGGTCGACTGTATATAGTGCCTTTCTGTTCTTAGCTTTTTGGTCGATCTGCTCCAAATTTTTCTAGCTTATTTTCTGGGACTCTCAGAAAAGTAGACTTCCACGAAATCTGGACGTCCCACTCTTCTCTCGATTTGATCTTTTCAACACTTCGCGATAAACATTGCAATAGTAGGCTAAAATAACCAAACTTTTAATATGATTTTCATTTTAACGTTTATCCTTCTTACTTTTTGGCCTTGCTCGGCCGAAAAGTAGGAAGGCTGCTAGTTTACTAATAAAAACAAATAATTATGAACTCTAATAAAAATATAAATTTAAAATACTCGAGACTAATTTCATTATTCCTAAAACTTGTGGAACACTTTCACTTATTTCGCGTTCAAATCCAAATAAACATTTCAGGGTTCAGTGAAAAACGGTATTCATAAAAGTACATAATGAAGAACTCGTTAACACACCTCTAATTACAATGCAAAAATATGGATTCAGTTAGATGGACCGGAGCCCTACTATGCACGAACTGTAGTAAATTATTCAAACAAGCACTTTAATGGAAGGTGGATTGAAAGACATTGAACCAGCAGGCTATAATGGCCCGCACGATTAATGGGCCTGACTTTTATTTGTGGGAATATTTAAAGAATCTAGTATATGAACAGGAATTAACAACTAGAGAAGATATGATTGAAAGAATTCGGACAAGTTTGTAAAACATACCATGAAACTCCGAGATATTTCCAACAGCGATTTCAGCAAAATGGGGAAGACTGTGACAGACACTCACATTCTGTCATTCCTCTAAAAGTTTAATTAAAATAAAAAGTGGATTGAGAGAATTTAAAGATTATCTCGAGCTATTGTATCAGTTCATTATTTGAAGGAAAAGAATGATTCCATTAAATAATAGTTTTGTAATACTTTTTTTGTAAGATGCATATTTTTCGAGTTATTTCAGTATAACTCGAAAAATTAAATTAATTAATTAATTAATTAATTTAAAAATTAATTAAAATGGATCACTCTGTTTCAAAATCTATAATTTTGAAAACGCGATCACAATTACAGAGTTATTGAAAAATAAACCATGCAGCTCGCTTCAGGTAGGTTTTTCAGATACCATTTACATTTGCATTAATTGAGAGGTTGCGGCCGACGTTTTCATCGCGAAAACGTGTACGTCAGACGTTCAGCGCTGCCTTCCTGTAAGCCTAGAAGTTTCACAATGGCGTTTGGAACGTCGAGCATGAAACGTCTGCCGCAACCTCTCTAATAATTAATACCGGTAGCATAAAAGTTTTTTAAAATAAAATCTACATAACAGATGGCACCACACACAATTTTAACTCTTGTCTTGAAAGTTACGCAACTCGTTGCTGAATTTTTTAAGTTTCGGATTCGTATATCTTAGATACACACCAGCTTTTTAAAGGTAAATACATATTCCGACACAAATTCGTATCTGAAGTAAAATTCGATTAATTTGTTGTAAACAAAATCGCATAAAGTAAGAAGTTTTAATTTAAATGTACAATATAATTTACAATATACATAATTATCTTCTTAAACGCCAGATTATAATTTTACTTCTACACCGCGAAGAATTCTATTACACAGAAATTGAAATAGAAAACTGTAGACCTTTAAATTCCAACCTGTTTGGCAGTCTGTCCTTCCTTAACCTCGAAAAGATAATTAGATAGATAAAAGTCGAGACCAGATATGGAAATCTTAGGGACAGGAAGCCCCGATTAACTATATATGAACTTCCGATTCGCACCAGTCACGTTATTTCAATTGAAAAATCTTACCCCGAAATATCTTAGATGACCGGCACGACTCTATTGTTAAAGGAAAAGTGTGATGTACAGGAGAAAGCCACTACTAATTTGAGACGGAGAGCACATATTTTAAGTTAAATAAATTAAAAACGTGATTAATTTTTCTCCTTGTATGCAGTAAGAGTACCGTTTTCAGGTCCACCGCTGAATCGGTAAGGCCCACAATGGGATTGGATGGGGCACAACATATCCGAAACAGACAGCCCATGAAAAATTCGTGAATTATGCGCCCGAATTCGATCCCGAGTTCTTCAGAGCGGCAAGCTGACGCCTTTATCGCTTGGTCATCCGGCCGGAAAAGGAAGTTTCGCAGTAGATTTACATAAATAATTTGACCTTTAAATTTACCGGAAGTTTTATTATTGTTAAATCATCGATTAAAATGCCGACTTACATTGAAAAGCATTATTTTGACACTACAGACATCGGTTTATCCTTTAAATTCTCATCCGAAAGATGAAAACAATAATATGACTAAACATGGTGTATTTTACCAACTGGAAGAATGCCGCCATCTTTAGTCCCGTTACTATTTGGTTAAATTTAGGGACGATGTCTATTGAATTAAAATGACGTTTGCTAAATTTCTATCCACTTTTTGATATTTAATATTTCTATATTTTATTTTTAAACTTTGTTTTGATGATTTTTATATATTTGAGCATTTTTGTCGCCGCTTTAAATGTTGCAAGATTACGGAATAAAAACGAAGAATTTGGAAAATAATTAGAAAATATTATTATAAATAAAATTTTTCGGGCTAATTTCTTTATATTTTTCTGAAAGTTTCCCTCTTCCATTCGTCACTCGTCGCTTCCGCGTCGCGACGAGAGCGACGGCGCGTCGGGAGACGCCCCGATGGTGTTATGTCTCGCGCTCGTACTCCGCGCCTCGGGCGGAGGGCCGCGGCCTTCGGAATCGGCCGTCGCCGGAGAGCGGCTTTTCCGATAACCGGAGTTATTTCCGTCGGAGTGACGACATTTCGATTGCGTTCGCATCTGCCTTACGTCACGGAGCGGGACGATGTCGCAATCGCCGTAGTCTTTCGCTTGGAGAAATAGTTCCGACATTTTCTCGGCGTTTTCGGCTTTCCGGATCTCTCGCCGCGCGAAAACAACTTAAAATTTGGAATTTTTGGCGTATCCGGGACAGAAAACCGAGAGATCGAGCCAAATTGGTGTTTTCCGAAGACGACGGGGGCGAAGGGAGCGAGCCGTCCCGGCTTCCGGAACGTGTCACTCCGCGCCATGGCCGAAACTCGCGGACGGCGTCGGACAGGTCGTGTGGGTGAAAACTAGGGTCCGTCGCCATTAGGACCCGAAATTTCTTGTGACTCGTCATCCCGGGCCGACAATCTTCACCCGGGACCTGTAAACCGTCATCGACGCAGCTTTGGCGTCGTTTCCAGTCGGACCGAAGCACTCGAAAGCAGCGAACGAGCCGATCGAACGGCCGCGTCTCTCCTCCAAGGTGACAGATTCGCTCGGACGTTGGCCGTCGACGTACCCGATGAATAACGTCTCCCGTCGACCCAGACTCAACTTGACTCAGGCGCGACTCAAGCAGCGACAGTCTTTCGACAAGGCCCCGGATTCGGGCGCCGGAAGCAGCGGAAGCCTTAGTCCCAATCTGCAGCCCGCCACCCCGCCCGATTTGGACGGCAAGGAGTCGTCCGTACCACGAAAAATAGGCAAATACTTGCTGCTCGAGCGACAGACCGGAAGCGGCCTCTTCAGATGCTTGGACACGCATTCCCGGGACGAACGCGTCTGCAAGGTGAGTTTCAACTTCTTCCTCCTCCTCCTCTTCCTCTTCGACCCGCCGCCGGACCACCGACCCAAGGGAACTCCGGACGACGGGTCGACGCTTTCCTCCATTCCGGCGTTCACTTCCGCTCTCGATTTTCCGGACGTTTCCGGTAAGTCGAGTTTAAAAAAAAATAATAATAATCGGGCCGTTCGTCGTGCCGAACGACGAAGAAAACCAGATAAAACGTGGCGACGACGGTTATTGCGACATCGCACCGAAAACTGTCGTCATACGTAGTAGACGCGCTTCCGACGCCCCCTCTTAATTTTTTTTTGTTAACTTTTATTTTTTATTTTCCCCCGTTTTATCCCCCGCGACTTTTTAGCGGGTTCGGCATCTCCCTCCGACTTTTAAGGTCGGCGGTCGAACGAACTCGGGTTACCTTCGCGTTCGGGGCGGCCGTTGCGAAACCGAGTATATTTACGAAACTAGTTTTGGTTTAAGGACTTCGTTCCGAAGGACCGACTCCGGTCTCCGGGCATGCCATCGATCGCGTTTCTTTTAACGATCCGCCTCTTCCTCCCACCCGTTTCGGGGTCGATCGACGTCGCGACCCGTCCGTCTGACCTCGAATCGTTCGTAGTTACTACCAGACGTGACGTCGAACTTTAACGTTCTCGAAATTCCGCTCGATTTCTCGGGAGGGGAGAGCTCCGATTGATATTCTGCGCCGGAAGTTCGAAAAATCGTAAGATCCGCTTTACGTTGAATCCCAGGACGTCGAAGGTCCCGGCCTTCTCCGACGCTTTTGTCCAAAAATCTGGCTCAAGGTGTTCCAATTGACGGGTGTAATGGACCTCGGGGTAATTGCACCATCCAAATAGGAATTTGAATGCGGCAATTAATTAAGTAGAGAGATTTAAATATAATTAATGATGGAGACGTTTCGAAATTTGAGTGTCGGACAAAAATTGCTCGACGAGGAATCGGAGGAGGGCCTGATTTAGAACGACGGGAGGACTCGCGTGGTTTGTTTGCGGTCCCGCTCGAGCCCGGCAATTTAAACTATTTTTTGAGTAGGTAGTCGAAACAGCCGTGTCGGTCGATTTTATTAAATTATCGCATTATCCTGCGTATTCTGGAGATTATAGTTTGATAAAATATCAAGGATACGTTTGCTTCCAAACAGCTTAGTAAATTTTAAAATATGTGTAGGATCGAATATGATTCTAAGTAAGAAATGCCAATTTTTTTTTCATTTTATAAGCATTAACTTCTGAAATTCTTCAGGCTGTCTTTTTTTGTGATACATTCGTTGGTTGGTGTTTGTGCTCCCGTTGAGGTCGACTCCGACAGAACTGTATGCAAGTATTGGCATATTTAAAGTTTACTCTCTGTTAAACTAAATTTAAATTTTTCGATTCTATATGAAAACAAATGATAGGGATATTACTTTGTTTGACTGTCGTGTCACTGTTGTGTGATTCTGTATTTGACTGTTTTGTTCCGTTTAAATTTTCAAATACCGTGATATTGTTAGTTATATTTAATCTCTCTTCTTAATTAACATTCAAACACTAGTCGCAATGTATAAATTAATATTTGAACTTTGCGACTAATTAAGATCCGTGGCATGTCAAATTTGAGTGTCTTGATTTAGCTTGTCTGTAAAACAATTAAAATACTGTAATTCTTAGTATTTAGGTTCGTATTTAAAAAGTCTCTATGGATTGAATCTAGTAGTTCGAATAATCTTTACTAGTTTTTATAAACAGACCATTTGCAAAAATGAGTTCTAAAATAAACCATATGGTTTACTCTAGAACTTTGACACGGGTTATCAATGGTTGGTTGGTTGCATAGTACAATGATTTTGTTGTCCGGAATATGATCTAATCCGTAGCTTGGAATGAATCTCATTCCTGTAATTCTTCCAATGGATTTTATGATTAAAGTGATAATTTTCTGCATTCTTTGGCTGGCGTAACCATGTAACTTTGGTATTTGATGGATGCTTTCTATAAAATGATAATACTACCAATTTAAATTTCTGATTAATGTATTAATAATTGAAGTTTCTTATCAATATTTCTAATAATTTTAATTATAAAATTTAACAAATGATCCTATTTTAAGCATTTATGATTTTAAACCATTCTATCATACAAATTATGATTTCAGTTTGGAATTACAATAAGTAATTAAATTTTTGTAAATTTTATGGTTTGACAATTGTTGCAAAATAGAAAGAAAAATTATAAATTTAATAAAACTAAAGCAAATTACGGCTTTTTTTTTTTTTTCTGCATAAGTATGTGTAAAATTGTAGTTATTCTATTATCCCATTCAAAAATCTTATTTGATTTTTTTATAGATTAATGTTACTGTTAAGATATTTGTTAATTTTCTATTCTAATTTGCATCAAAGTAAATGATGAATTCAAAGTTATTATACTGAAAGTTAATCTAGTTATAATTTGTAATTTCTGATGATAAAAATGACATTTGCATTATTTAAAACAAAAGATATTTTAAATCTTTGATTGTTATCTGATAATAGACAATACAGGAATGTGATTTATTAATGCTGAAAGTCTGTTTAAATTAAGCATTAACATTTTTGAAATCTCCCAAAACTAACTACAAAACAATGACTCAAATTCGTTTGACAGTCTGCGACATTTAAAACTGAAGATGCGATTCTTTGAAAAAAATATTATTATGCAAAGTAGACTTCAAGAGTTTGCTCTGTTATTCTCATTTGTTGTTGATTTTATTTATTTCAAGTAATTATAAAACTTTTTAAATTCCAGAGCATGGTTAAGCAGATTTAAAAAAGTCTAAATTCATGTTTGTATCCCAAATTAGGAGCCAATCATTTGAAGTTATCAATATGAACAATAAATCATTTCTTTTTGGCCGTGATATATATATATTATATTATGTAATATATATTTTCAGTATTAATATATTATGTGCAGTGGCATACTTAGGATTTAATCTTGAGGAGCTAAATTGAATGGATAAAGACATTTGTAATGTAAATTCAATAGAACACTCATCTTATGTGACCACTAATTCATAAGTAGTATAGAAATAGAAGCCACGACACAATATAAATAAAAGAATGAATTTTAATTAGGAAAAGGTTTTTTGGAAAATTTTCTAGTGTTTGTTTTTCTTTGGATGGTGCCAAGGCCCCTTGGCTTCCTCTGGATCCACTACTGATTGTGTGTGTGTGTTTTCTATAAAATAAATTTAAAATGCCATTTTCTTTTGCATATTGAAATGAAATATGCTTTGTTATTGCATCATTTTCTGTTTCTATTTTGTATATAATTAAATATCTAGATAAAGGGATACAGTTAACTTTATACTCTCTCAGGTTCTCGATCAATGAAATTTTTTGATGATCCCAACGTATTCATTTTTTATGCATATGCAAGAATATTATTGTGTTAAAGATGGTACTTTAATGTTTTGTTTTTAAAACTTTCAATATTTCATACAAGTTGGTGAGTTAGAAAAGAAAGTTTCTTTTAATAAAGTTGTAATTGGAAATAGTTTAGAAGGCTAGTTTACAACCAGCCCTCTAAACTCTAACGACAACAATCCTTAAAAACTTAAAATTTCTTTTTATTAGCAAGTTTATATCAAATCAAAAATAAAGTAGTATTAATTTTTTATACATATTACACATACCATCGTCAATGTTATTTTGACTACACAGTGTACATATCATGTTTCCTACAGTATTGTAATATATATTATAAAATTACAATGCATAGGGAAACAGGAAACATTGAGATTAGTTCAAGATTAGTTATCTTTGTTGCGATTAGAATAAAGAAAGAGAAATTAAATATAAAGTATTTTAGAATAAAATACATCACAAAAAAGTTCCATGGCCAAATTTCTTCTCTTCTGTTATTATAGATATGCTGTTAAATTTTACTTCAATTCATAATCTAAGCAAATGAATGACTTTAAAGTCATTCATTTGCTACTGGTTTTTTCTCCCCCCTCTCTTCCTAGATGCTTGTCAGTAAAATTTTCCTTGTATGAGTCAGACTAGTTTTACTCAGAAGGAATTGTATACTTTGTTAAATTAGATTTTTGTTCATTTGTTTTCATACCTTGTTTTATCTTATCATCCTGTTGTTAAACTTTATACGCTATATTTTTTTAGAGATATAATACGAAATTTAATACATTTTTATTATGCTGATAATTATTTTTGGGCTTTAAACTTTTAATTAAATAGTTAATTTATAATGAATTTTGTTAAGAGAAGTTATAATTTATCAGTTAGTCTTTAATCACTTTTATAAATATATAATACAATATTCTTTCTATAACCTTTTAATAAAATTATATAATACATATTTGTATAAGTTATGATATTTGAAATCAATCTGTGAAATAATTAAAAGTAACATTATGACTATAAGTTTCATTAACATTATTATAAGAAAAGATGTATTGGACGGTTTTAATGCCCGATAATTTTTAATTGTATAAAATTAACCGAACAAATTAAAAGCAGTTATTACATACATATTTTTCAAATAAACGTGATAAAAGTTGAATATACTCTGTTCTTGAATTAATTAAATTTCATTTTCAATTAAAGTGACAGTAATATAACAACTAATATAATGTTAAGATACAACATAATGTTATTGGTATGTTATGTATATCTAGCAATAGAACATGTTAAGGTATCATTCTTGTAATTTACTAGATTACAGATTTGAATACCATCAGAAACATGGATGTTTGCGTCATCAGATTTCAAACAGGATTATTGTTTAGGATATTCTAAAGCCACTAGTGTGGTACAGTCGACCCCCCCCTATAACGTACGTTCCTATAACGACAATTCCTAGAACGTAGCGAAAAAATTGTAGCAACTTTCGTATAACGTACCTCCTATAACGTCGTTTCGCGACAAGATTGATAGAGTCTGGACCAATAGTGGATGAGCAGCCGAACTACTTTCCTCCGACCCTGCGCCACGCTACGGA